ACAGAAATTCATAAAAACAACATCATAATAGAGGTCGTAGATCTTCAGATAAATGTTCAAAGAAATTTTCAAAACTTCAAGCAAGCAAAAATAATTTCAAATCAATTTGTAAAACTATAAGCGAAATTTTGCAAATCTTCAGGGAAATTTACATAACTTCAGACAAGTCCAAGAATCTACAGTGAAATATAAAGTATTTCACAGAAGTTTGGAGATCCTCGAAACATTATTCAACATCAGAAAAGTTCGTAGATCTTCAGAACAAAGTTACAGAACTTTGAAAAAAATTACAGGATTTCTGAAAAAAATCACAAGAATCTTAGAAATGTTAATGGCTCTTCAGTAAAAATTGCAGAACTTCAGGGAAGTTCGGCGGTTAAAAAAAATATTTACACGATTTCAGGAAAATTTTTAGATCTTGAGAGAGACATTTAAAACTTCAAAGAAGCTCAAATATTTTCAGATAAATGTTGACAACTTGAGGTAATCTTCAACGAAATTTTCAAATCTTCAGGGTAACCCGAGAGGAATTTACAAAACATCAGAGAAGTTTGCAGATCTACTGAGAAAGATTTTTTTGTAGATCTTGGGAATAGACCTACGGAGCTTAAGACAACTTTACAGAACTTTAAAGATATTTGCAGGAATTTGACAGAAAGTTTCACAGTTTCACACAAATGTGAGATCTTCAGAAAAATTCGTTAAATGTCAGAAAAGCACCTCAATTCCAAAAACAAATCGCAGCGAAGTACAAAAGTACAATATTTTGCAGAACTCCATGGAAGTCGGAAATAGATACACACCAAAAAATTCTGAATTTTACTGGCGATGTAAACATCCATGCATGCAAACATTCATGCATGTAAACTTCCTTTTCACGTAAACTAGCAACTTGCAAGAAATGTTGCAAACAAAAGTGTACATTTGCATACAATATATGGGATATTACATGACATGTCTCATAAATTTACACGATCTATAATCTCCATTTATGTGCATCATAGTAACGGATATTTATACTACTTTTTTTTAGCTGTGTAGATCTAAAGAACTTCAGAGAAGTCCGTAGACCTTAAAAGAAGTCCGTAGACCTTAAGAGAAGTCTGTAGAACGTCAGAAAGTTCGTACGTTTTTAGAAAAAATTACAAAACTTCAGCAAAACTCACAGATCTTCGGGAAGGTCGCCGATCTTTAGATCAAGAATCCACAAAGAAATTTAAAGAACTTTAGAAAAGTTCGGAGATCTACTGTGAAATTTATGGAACTTCAGGGCAGTTCGTAGATCTTTAGAGCAGAAATACAGTACTTCAGAAAACTTTACAGAATTTGAAATAAATTTTAGGATCTTCAGAAAAGTTCAGAGGATAGATCGTAAATCTACTGAAAAATTAGCAGATGTTTAAATAAATTTTCAGAATTTTACTGTGGTTCTTGGATTTTGAAAGACATTTACAGAACTTCAGGTAAGTTCGCTGATCCTTAGAGATATTTGCACAGCTTCAGAAAAATTAGAAAAACTTCAGAATACTTCCTAAAACTTCCGGAAAGCTCAAAAATTTCTTTTAATTCTTTAGAAAATTGTATAGATGTTCAGAGATATTTGCAGATATTCATTGAATCATGAAAATCTGCAGAGAAAATTACAGAACTGTCAAGAAGTTTGTAGATTATTAGAAATTTTGTGAGCATCAGAGATAATTGTTGATCTTCAAGGATCTTAAATCTTCAGGGATTCAGGAACTTTGTAGATTTTTAGGAAAATTTGCAGAACTTCTGAAGAACACACAGAACTTCAAAGAAATCTGTAGAACTACCGAGAAATTAGCAGATTGTAAGGAAAGATTGTTGATCTTTAAAGAAATTTTACCGGAGAACAGAAACAAAACTTCAGGGACGTCAGAAGGTTTGAAGACCTTGCAGAATTGAGTTGTTAACAGAAATTTTCAGAACTCAAGGAATCATGTATATCTAGTGAGAACTTTTCCCACTAGCTTGCCTAAAGTTGGTATCGACAGCCTGGCGAAGTTTTGAAATCCATTATCATCTTCATATTGCAACTCTTGATGGACAAGATGAGCCAAATCCCTGCCGGTGTTCCTCCTGAGCAACCATTTCCTACTCCACAAAGTTCACCTTCTCTTCCTCATTTCATTTAAAATAATAGAAGCAAATACGTCTGCCGAAACTAGAGCAATTTTCCGGTAATTCATGATGGAAGTATTTACTTTTGATTCCTGACACAGTTTTGTTTTGAAATCTAAATTGGCAGTTCTTTCGACATGTGCAAGCAGTGTGAACACCAGCAAACAGGGGGGTTCGACAAAGTGTGTCGAAAGTAAATTCGAGCTGATTTTTCATTATGGCGGCGGTCAAAATCAGACCATTTGCCGGCACCGGTGGTGTAGTGTTAAGCGTGACTGCTTTCTCACCCCAATGGGTCTGGGTTCAATCCCAGTCGAGGTCGGTGGGATTTTTCTGAGGCATAAAAATCTCTGGTCACGTCTTCCTTCGGAAGGGAAGTAAAGCCGTTGGTCCCGGCCCATGTGAGTTGATGAATGGGTGCGATATCCTACGCAGGTGTGGAAGCTGCCTTCCTGCACATTCGATTGTCGTCAATGGATGGCAAACGATGTCCGTCGGTGATTGGTTAGGGGGGGGATGTGCTGTCAAATCAGCCTACTGATCATCTTGTATGAAACTGGTTCCAAACGTAAACAAACGCTGTAGGTTTCTTATGGCTTGTTTACGTTTGGAACCAGTTATGCGAGGTAGGCGACGATTGTTCGTATTTGACAGCCACCTCCCCCCCTTGGTGATTGGCACTAGATTGCGGAACAGAGACCGACGTTAAATAAAGGAAAAAGTAAAAAAAATCAGACCAAGAAATCAGATAGTCTAAACGGACCTTAAGAGATTTTAGGCATGTGAAACCATGATTTATTCTGTCTTGTTGCAAGATCAGAGTTGAACTCAAACATATTATCAAAATGATATGTTGTTTTTGAAAGCATATTGTTATCAAATTTTGATATATCGTTTTATAGATAGGTTTCTTACTTGTATTTATATTCTTGAATTAAAAAAATACTACACAAATACCAAAAAAGAAAGTAATATTGATTGACGTAATGCATGCTACTATATGAATAACTAATGTGATTGCAAAAACCAAATACAATATTACACCCATGGATATAATTTCTTTTCGCAAATTATGTGTAGAATAAATGCACCAATAGTGGAGGTACCTACTTTAGTGCAATGTGTTCCTATGGTGGCTTATAGAGTCTCCCTGAGCCGCTATAGAAGTACATTACGTTAGTACAATGTACTTCTATAGCGGCTTAGGGAGACTCTATAAGCCACCATAGGAACAAATTGCACTAAAGTACCTCCCCTATTGGTGCATTTACTAAACATAAATTGTACAAATTAATATTAAACAACCTATGTGCATCTGTTCTGCTGTAATATTCAAAAACTTTTTTGCTGTGCCGACTTATAAGTACCAACGCCCAAGTTTGAACAATCGAAAATAACATAAATCAATAAGTACATAAAAAGGATTCCAGACGGACAAATAGATAAAATAATAATGTGTATGCACCTGGAATTTTTTTTCATCCGACCTGGAAAACCTGGAAAATTCAGGGAATTTGATTCCTTGGATTGTGTAGACACCCTGAATAAGAAGGCTAGAAAAATAAATAAAAATGGATTGCCGCAAGTAGGGGAAATGGATGCAATTTCGGCCTAAATGCCCCTAATTTGGGCCCATACATAAATTCAGCAATCGACTAAATTTTCAATAGCGACCCAAAATATCCATTAGTACCGTCCCAATGACGCGTTCATCTAGATAAAGTTGATAAATAGCAGATTTTTAGCGATGGACCCAATCTTAGATCCATAGGCCAACATTAGAGCTATTTCCCCTATCTATGTTAATTTTATGTGTGCTAGAATTTCACAAAATTGAATTCAAATCATAGGGGGCCACAATAAAAAAGAGACCCCAAGGGTTGTTAAATGTTGTTAGTCATTGTCATGACAACCACATATCACATTTTTTCATCGTTTGGACTATTGCATGCTCAGCTAGAGCAATGTAAAGTGAAACTCAATAACTTCCCATAGTAATTAATCGAAATCTCCATACAAACTTCAACCTATTGGCGTGGCCACCTTCATCAATCTTTACCATTTTTAGCATAGACTCAAATTTTAGGCAATTGAATCGAACCAGAGAGTGGTCTATAAGAAATATCTCCCTTTTTTCAAAATGATGCACCCCACTGTCACAGTACAACGTATATAGTTAATCGAAACATTATCGTAAATAATAATGGTTTGTTTATGAATGTATGAAATGACCCATTTCAGCTCTGAAAAATGCTTCCTGTAGTTTTGCTACCGAAGATAATTTTCGCACAAACTTTTAAAATTTGCACCTGAGTCACGTTTAAAAACATGTAAACATTGAACACTTTCGTTTTTTGCTGAGTATTAACAACCGAGAATTCATCATAAAAATTCACTGACCACAGACCCCTGGCAGAGTGAATGCGATTGACCGAGCGGACAAAAGTTCGTATTAATGCTTATTATTCCTTTTGGTGGTCAGTTCGGCTTCTCGCATTCACTCTGCCAAGGGCCTTACGGCCTTACTCTCTTGCGAAATCTTCTTTTTCATCGGCTATGTTGTTAATTTTGGTTGAATATTTTGCATTTGTCCCAGTTTAGCTCAAATCCTATAAATTTTTATCAAAAGCAAGCTTAACGCGCATATTTCCTCCCATAAAAAGCTCAACTCGCTAGGCTCTCAGCAAATGCGCTTCCTATTTGCGTTGGAGCTTTGCAAAGCGTTCGGCTCAGTAGAAGTTCTCCGTTCGTTTCGAACCACTCTCTCTCTCTCGCGACGTGCCAACGGTACATTTCAAATCTAATAAAATCCTTTTCATTTTCTCTTCTATCCCCCCGCACTCCAATCCGAAAACCAGGTCCAATCCAGGCACGCCAACCCAACCCCGGCGACCGGATTTCATCGGAGTGAACATGGTTGGCCAACAGCAGCAGCAGCAGCAGCAACAACAACAACAACAACAACTTCAGCAGCAGCAGCCCGGTGCGACTTACTACGATTTCCCACTGCAGCAACAAGCGCAGCTCCATCAAACGGGTCTTCCCCCGGTGCATCCCTACCACCAACAGCAGCAGCAACAACAGCAATCCCAGTACCCAATGGTCCACCACAATGGTGGTCTACCTCAGCAGCAGCAGCAATCGCAGCAGCGAACCCCGAACGTCGTCTACCACCACGGAAGTCCCCAGCGGCGGTATCTCTCGGAAGGTGAGTTGGCCCGCCAAGGCGCCGAGCTTTCCTACGCCAGGAGCAACCAGACCGTGGACAACATCCGAGAGCTAGCCGGTAGTCCCCAGCGGGGGGTCTACATGTGGAAGGACATGTCGCCGGGTTTTAGCAATGACGGTAGCAATCAAACGCAGCAGCTTCTAGGCAATCCGCAGCAACAGCCACAACAATCGCCGGGCGTATTTGTGAGCATGGCCACATCGGTGTACCAGAACACGCCCAGTCCAACGGCAGCTCAGCAGCAGTCGCAGCAACCGCAATATGGAGGCGTCAGTGCCGCCAGGTATCAGCTCCAACAGCAACAACAGCAAGCCACCATGAATAGCTACCATCCGGCGTTACGGGGTGGTGTTCCAGTGTTCCCTCCGCAACCTCTTTCGCCGACGGCGGTCAGCATCGGCAACGGTAACAATCAGCAACAATCCGCACAAGTTGGCGTCAGCAATTCTGTGGTCGGCAACAGCATTGGCCCGCAGGCGCCTTCGCCGCAGATCAAGCGGAAAGCCACGCCCACCCGGCCGATGTCGTTCGTGAGGGCTCTGGAGATGACCGATTCGATGGAGCTGAATCCAACGGACAACGGGAGTAACAATGGTGCCGGCGGCAGCAGTAGTGGTGGACAATCGTCAGGTGGACGGGCGACGACACCGACGCCTCCGGATCGGGGAAGCGTGTACGATATGAACTATGAGATTTCCGTTTAGCAACAACAACAACAAGAGCAGTTCGGGAGTGGAAACGGTAATTAGGATTTTTTTTTATAGTTGGAAAAATGAAAGTCGTGGCGGGTGATCTTCTCGCGTGGGGGGCATTTCGGAAATTTGTTGGTAGCTTACTCATTTTGTTGATTGTTTTAAATGAGTTTTCGTTTCTGTTTTCTTCCGAAAGCGAACGGGAAGCAGTAGATGTGTGGTAGCAGGAACGGTACGCGGGTGGATTAGATTTAGTTTCCTTCGTTTGGTATCCTTTGACAAACTAATCGTGTCAGAATGTTGACAACCTGGACAAATCAGGACATTTTGGATCTCTCAGGGAATTTCTTTGAAATTCAGGGAAATATTTCTTAATCACAGAAACTTATTAATAAGTATGACTGACTTCGCTAGTTTCAAACAACTTAATTGCTCGGTGTAGTTTGAGGATGGCTGTTCATTTTAAATTTTAAATACAGTTGCAAATCTGTAGTTGCTCAATGCTTGAAGTTGTCTTTTTGGCAAGTTGAGCAAAAATACTCAAATAAAAGGGTATGTCGATGATTTTGGGCCTGATATAAATTCAGCTGCCACATTTCTAAGTTGAACGGAGATCCTGAGGATTGATAAAAATCCATTTCCGTAGATGCTAGACGTTGTTAGAGTTATTGCAAAATTTAACCTCCAAATGGGTAAGGGAAGGAGGGGCATAGTGAGCTTCCTGTGCTTGAGCCTTGGATTTCTTATGGTTCGAAACAAAATTATTTGCTGTTTAATCATTGCAATGGTGATATTGAACCTACTACCAATTAATTTGTTTCGAACAATTAGAGGTTTGGGACTGGAGTGTGGGATGCTCATTATGCCCCTCTTACCTCGGCGTCTCTTACTGCATGTTACACCTAATAACGTCCGACAAAATTTAGCCTTCGAGTAGATTGGTGCGTCTGCTAGATCCAGCTGTGTCCGACAAACATCAATCCCTTGAGCGCATTGGAGCGCCTTTGAGTAAATGCTAGAATGGTGAAGAGCCTCAGAGAATCAAGTCTGTGGCATTTTTGTTTGATTGCTTGGAGTAGCACTTTTATGATTGAATTCCTTTCATTCCAAGATACGTAGACAAGCATATCCTTGACAGTATTGTATATTGTTTACTTGGTTCTACATCAACAGACTGGGTTTAGTCCTAATGATGGATTAAGCAATACTAGGAAATACAATATAGTCAAGAAGTAACAAGCTGCAAAGGCCGTGAAGTCCAACTTAATTCCTAATTCTTAAAAATATATCACGAAATCTCTGACGCAGCGTCTCGCGTGCCTAGTGAAAATCAAATAAGGAAGCACCACGATTGAAAACCCTTTCTAGCCCATTGATAGCACCATACGAACTATAGTTTGTACGACGAAAAGGTATCCTCAGCATTGCGCTGTTACGGAGTGCTCGTGGTTGAACGTTAACGTCGATTTGTTCTAGAATAGAAGGACAATCGATTCTGCCCTGTAGAATGTCTGCCACAAACAGGGCCCTTGTCGTATCTCTTCGAATCCACAAAGGATCCAGGTGAATTAACTGGCACCGACTTTCGTAGCTTGGAAGGCGATGAGGATCCCTCCAAGGCAATCGTCGAAGGGCAAACCAGATGAATCGTCGTTGAATAGACTCTACTATTTTCTAACACCGACCGGACGAGGGAGCAGTAAAGCGACTTCAAACAGTAGATGTCCGTGAAACTTTTAGCTATCCTGAAAATGAAGCCGAGCGTTCTGGAAGCCTTGTCGATCACGTACGAGATATGCTGGCTGTATGTGAGTTGACAATCCAAGATGACTCCCAGATCCTTAATGTGATTCACACGATGTACGTCAACGCCTTCTAGGATATAACTGAATGTAATTGGATGTTTCTTCCGTGAGAACGTGATTACTGAACATTTGGTTGGATTTACAACCATGCGGTTCAGTTGGCACCAATTAGCAAAAGCATTGAGTTGGAGTTGGAGAAGGTGGCAGTCAGCGATGGCTCGGATTCGGAGATAGATTTTCATGTCGTCTGCGAAAGACAGTCGTGGACCGTCGAGGACGAAATTGACGTCGTTGAAATACACAAGAAATATCAACGGGCCGAGGTGGCACCTTGCGGAATACCCGAAATGGCAGCGAACGAAGGAGATCGGCAGTCGTCGATTGCAACTTCCAACTGACGATCAGATAGATAGAATGCGAACCATAGTAGGAGACTGCCGTTTATACCGAGCCTATCCAGTTTGGCGATCGCTATAGGATGGTTCAACTTGTCGAAGGCGGCTGATAGGTCAGTGTAGATGACTTCTGTTGGCATATGGTCTGTCATACTCTCCGTAATGCACGAGGTGAGACACAGAAGGTTGGAAGTAGTTGACCGTCCTGCCATGAAACCATGCTGGTCTTCGCTCAAGTGCTGCTTGAAGTGAGAGACTAATGGTTCCATAACGACTAACTCGAACAGTTTAGATATGGCACACAACGATGTGATGCCACGATAGTTGTCGATGTTTCTTTTGCATCCCTTCTTATGCAGCTGATTTCCAGCAGGAAGGAAACACCCCACTGGAGAGGGACATTTCGAACAGAAGGCAGAGAGGAGCTATCGATGCGTTGCTTGAGAAAGACGGAAGGAACTCCGTCAGGTCCATGTTTAAATAAAGACTTCAGTTGCGAAGCCGCCCTAATTATCATAGCGAGGTCGATGTTGATAGCTGCCAAAGATTGACCAGACATTGGAACATTACTGGCTGCTAGAGAAACGTGTTCGCAACTCGCAAACTTGGTTGAGCACAGACGGCAAATGTCCTGAGGGGTCGAAGCTTCTTCGCCGTTCAGTACCTTAGTCGATGGAAGGCCAGACTCCTTTCGTTGCTCATTCACATAATTCCAAAAGGTTTTCGGATGAGATCGAAGCTTCCGTTGAACATCTCGTTGATAACGCCGATAACATTGTAGGGTGTGATACTTGGTGTATTTTCTTAGCGCGGCTCTTTTGAAAGACTTTAACATACGGAGTTTTTTTGTTTGCCAAGGATGATGATTACCTAGTTTAGAAACTTCTTTCGGAACGTGTCGCTCAATGACGTAAGCCAAAATATGCGAGAGCTTTTATGCAGCTGCATTGATATCGGCAGGGACGAGTATCCTGTGCTAGTCCAAATTCGAAAGAAGTTCCCCGATACTGTCGTGGTCAGCATTTCGGAAATCGTATGAGAGCTCTAGGGGGGTGTATATAGTCCCTTATTCTGCGAGTCACATGATTCTCTGTAACTGGTGAGGAGAATAGGACTAGTGGCTTTATTGAGTATTCTAGGTTATTTTAAACCTGGGAAAATTCGCTTCTCAGTGAAGTTTTAGTATTGTGATGTTGTTGTTATTGCAATTTAGATGGAATTAACTTACATATTTTTGTAGGTGCAAGTGCTGATTTTTCGATTTCCCATCGGAGGAATCCGGCCGCGAATTAGCATTTGGTTAAGCGTATTATCCAGAATAATTTGAGTAGGGGCCATCAGGGCACCTAATTGAAGCGAACTCGTGTAGCCGGTTCGGAGTCTTGAAATGATCCGCTGGTCCTTGTACTTGTGGCTGGCCAGGAGCGTACGGTTTCCTCAGGAAAGTGGCCCGTGATTGGAACCATTCCTGCTGCCGGGTTTCCATGATAGTATTCGCAATCCAACGCCTGATGTCTAGGAGGGGTACGTTGGATAAGACTGGATGGACCAAATCCCGCCAGTCTGTCTGCAGCCTTGTTTCCGGGAACATCGCACTGTGGGTAGTCTACGTGAATACGGTTGAAGATAGGGCGTAGCGTGTAATGGCTTGTATCCAGGGGTGGCTCGAGGCTGCGGATTTTTTTTTTTTTTAAGGAGACTTTCAGCCCTGGGCTGGTTTGTCTCCGGACACCCCAGAAGGAGGTATCCCAAAGGGAGAGAAGATACAGAGTTTTTATTTTGCGGAGTTGAATGATGGTTGCGGTTCCAGAGGGGAACTTATTTTGCCTTACTGTCCTATGTTGCTGTCATCTTTTGTGTTTTCTGTTTTGTTTTGAGGACCCCAGCAGAGCCCCACCTGTAGCAGCTGCCAGGAGAGACCTGGCACCCGCTACCGGCAGGGAATGCCGGGCCTACTGTCATCATGTATATGGGTTAAACCCTGTTGTAGATTCCGGCCTCCTTCGCGAAACATATCAGTTGTGCCTCTGCTATCGGGTCGTTCTGTAGGGCGTCTCGGATGTTGCCCGGGATCCCGTAAAGTTCTCGTGGTTCGTGGAAACAAGGGCAGTTTATAAGAATGTGCTCGACCGTCATTATTGTTCTGCAGGTGTCGCATCTTTGGCGGAAGTTTCTGCCACTGCTGCTCCCCATGTTGTGGGTGATGCGGGTGTGGCCGCTTCTTAACCGGGACAGGAATCTCTGGTCGTTAAACCTTGGGACATCCGTCCAGGGAAGGGTTACCCCTTTGGTCTTCCGGATGAAGAGGTCTCTCCTGGCGAACCATTCGCGGTCCCATGCCGTCCTGAGGGTTGACTTGATCCAACTTTTCAGGTCCTGTCTGGGGACCGAAGTGTTGGCGAGTCGGCCATTTCGTCCAATGGCAGCGAGGTGGTCTGCTTCTGTGTTTCTGGCAATTCCGCAGTGTCCCGGTATCTACATAAAAGTGGTGCCAGGGGGGTGTGGTTTTGTATGGCCTGAATCCAGGGGTGGCGGGCAGTGGCGCCTTGGCCACCGACCACTTCCGACACCAATCAAAATTAACAGCCACACTATCCCTAGAAAGAAGACCATATCCATCCTCGGGGTCACGATTGACCGGAACTTTCGGTTCGGCACCCACCTTAATAATGTCAGGACTAATTGTCGAACACGATTGAACATCCTCCGCTCCCTCTCCGGGCAGCATAAAACGAGCAACAGGGCCATCGTACTCAATACCGCCAGAGCCATTGTTCATAGCCGACTGACCTACGGAATTGAGCTCCTCTGTGCGTCCAGCGATTCGGTCGTCACCCGACTAGCACCGATATATAACCAGGCAACACGAATTGCGGCTGGACTTCTGCCCTCAACACCAGCCGATACCGCCTGTATTGAAATCGGAGTGCTCCCTTTCCGATATTACATTGCGGAAACAATCTGTACCAGAGCCGAGGGCCTCGACGAAAAATTAAGCGGAGACGGAGAATTCTATCTCCTCACAGAAGGGAAACGAATCCTCCAGGAAATCGCTCACCAGGAGCTCCCCCCGGTGGCCCAGCTCCACTGGAACGGAGCCAGAGAGTGGGATTCTTCCTCATCCGAGTAGACAAATCCATGGCCAAGCAGTTCCGAGCAGGAGACAACTCTACGGCAATGAGATCCTGCCTCACCGAATTATTACAAACACGGTACCACAACTATGAACTCCGTATCACCGACGGCTCCAAGGCAGGAGGCAGGGTCGGCTTTGGAGTAACTGATGGACAGACCTCACACTTCTGGAGACTCCCCGATCAATGCTCGGTCTTCTCGGCCGAGACTGCAGCCCTCCATTACGCAGCTTCCCTACCATCCTTCTCCCCGCTATGTGTACTAACCGACTCTGCTGCGGAAAATATGGAACACTCGTCCGGTAGACTTTGACTTGTAGCAGTTTTAGGTCCTGCCACTCCGAGTCCAACTTCATCTCCGGCTTGGTATCCTCTCTTGATCCGCTTATCTATTTTGACAACGTTTGATCGCCATCTCTTCTCTCCATGCCAGTGGACCCTGGCCACTGGGGGGAGGTTAAGGTTGGCTGTAGTGCGGAGGGTTCTGTTCGCCTCGTTGAGGAGAAAGACCCTATCGTTCCCGGATGTCTTAGCGGCGAGGGCAGCGGCTGCAGCAGATCGATAGCGGAAAGGGAGGATTCCGATTTCCATACATGCGGCGTCTGCAGGCGTGAAAGGGAGAAGGCCGGACATCATGGGTACGTAGGTATTGTATTCTGTAGCGAGGATTAGGTTGTGCTTCTCGGTGGCTAAACAGGTAAATTCGAGGCCCTAGAAAAGTCGACTGTCAACAAAATCCGGACGACACGAAGGCGGATCTCACGGTTGCGAGATCCGCTAAAAAGATTAAAATAGTTGATTTTTAGTAAACATGGAATGATTTTCCATAACAAACAATAAGGCAAAGCTTCAAGCAAATCGGAGGAGGTCGAGTCTGATTTTTTTTTTGCTGAAAAAGCTCAGATGGTTTGTTCTAAACACATTTAGAACTTTTGATGGCGCATGTTTGTGCTTAAGTAACTAAGGCTGTGAACCATTTGCCGAGTTAAAATTAACTCGTGGTTAAAAGTGACATTTCGAAAGTTATT